CACATCACTATAAAAATGAGAGAGAACTTGCGCGAGCGCATGCATGCACGCACGACACCACCACCACCACCACCACCACCACTAAATTGATTTCGTGCAAGCGAGAGAGCAGGAAATCTGGTTGGCAAACATCGGTCATTTACTATTCAATTGAAACGACAAGCTACAACTAATAACAACCGATTTATGTGCGCAATTTAACCAAATCAGAGACGAAATTTAATTTTTCAAAACCAGAAAATATACATAGAGAGACAGAATGAGAGACTGGGACGGAGTGAACAATATTTTGAATGTTATACATGACATAGACATAACGAGAGAGAGTGAGAGAGAGGAGGACAGTTATTCGAAGAATTTAATATACCTCTATTGACATGGTGCATTTGGAATTTCGATTTAGTATTAACAAAGCACCTTGATATAGCCATTGATCTCGCTCTCTCTCTCTCTCTCTCTCTCTCTCTCTCTCTCTCTCTCTCTCTCTCTCTCTCTCTCTCGCTCTCTTGTTTTTTTCTCTACCATGACAATAATCGATGTCTAAGCCACCATCACCGAGAGACTGAGTGACAATTAAATTCGAAGCATCTCGATTCGATTATAAATTTCCGGAATTTTCGCTTCATTTTTTTTTACCGAATGCTTGACTTGATTACGTTTCTATCCGACACGCATTGGCAAACATCACATTGAACCAAAACACTTTTCGATTCGATTCGATCATTCTCACTTCGGTTCTTTCTTCTGTATTCCCAACCCCCTGGTTGACGTACCATACATATATACATCTTTTGTACACCGCATAAAACAATGTGACCTACAATACAACGAACAAACATCGGCTTAATTTGATTTCGATGCAAAACTAACACAAATCTTGTTCACACTCTCTCGTTGTCGCTTTGCTGTTCGAAGTGTTGCATTCGCATACATTCATTGCAGTAATTGTTGTTGTTGTTGGTTTTTTTCGGTTCGTCTGTCTGTCTGTGTGTTTTGTCTATTGTTGTTGCCGTTGTTCTTGTCGCCAAAATCGTTAACATGCGAAATAATCGTTCGCTAAATGTACGTAAATGTGTATTCATCGCATTATACACACATCATTTTTAATGGCTAAAGCGGCGCAACAACTGTCATATTAATTTGGTTGCAGGAATTTTGTGTTAAAATCACCACATTTGTATCATCGCAAAATCAATTTAAGGGAACATCAGCCAGCATAGCAGGAACGCGCGATGGCAGCATCAATGTGCTTGGTGTTTGTGTGGATTTATGTGCCATGGCAATGGCAAATACAGTGCGGATAGAACAGAGCTTGAGAGAAAGAGCGAACGGGAAAGAGAGAGAGAGAGAGAGAGAGAGAGAGAGAGAGAGAGAGAGAGAGATAGAGAGAGAGAGAGAGAGAGAACGAGAGGACCGAGTGCATGAAAACAAAACGTGCCACTTATTGCAAAATATTTTATAAGAATAACCGAATAATGCGTTGGAAATGGTTTGGGTCGTCGACGAGTCGTTGCTGTTGCTTTTGTCATTGTTTGTTATTGCTGCTGTTGTTTTTGATCTCCATTCGAAATTGATGAATGTGGCATTGTCAATGCGATAGCATATATCGACTGAATGAACGAGGGAAATACGTGTATTTTTATGTGTTGTTGTTGTTTTGTTGCCGTAGCACCCGACCGATCAGCCAAAAGGAAGAGGAAAAATCTCGCATGCAGCAGCGCATATATTTCATGCAACAATAATGCATTCGAAGAGCGAGAGAGCGAGCGAGAATGAGAGAGAGAGAGAGAGAGAGAGAGAGTGAGACAGAGAGTAATGCATCGAAACTCACCGTGCCAATGCCATTGTTGGGCTAGGGTCTTTTGTTGGAACACATGTAATTGATAGAGAATGCAATACAATAGATTAAACTAACATACATGCGATTAAGTACCAAATATGTCATTCGAAGTCCATTGTATGCATTCTTTATTACGTCGACAATCGTTTGTAATGTATCGCCAACGAATTATACCAAAATTATCCCGAGTGGTAGTTTTGGTTGCTGTTGCTGCCGCCACCACCACCGCTACTGCTGCTGCTGCTGCTGCTGCTACTCAGCCCGACCGCTCTCTTGACGACGATCGTGTTCTCGATGCACGTCGAGATTCGACGACATTTTATTTAATAAGTGCACCTCGTGTGCTTTGTGCATTAGCATTAGTTTTCAAATATCAGTGCGAACACAGAGGACAAAACGTATGGTGGGGAGGGAGGAGAGAAAGGGAAAGAGAGGGGGAGAGAGTGCAAGATGCAGAAACAGATGGATTTGTTTTGCATAATGAAATCGCTTTGCACAATGCATTTTCAACATGCTCTTGCTTGCTCTCTGCGCTTTCAATTTCATTGCCTCTGGCTTATCGACACACATAACACACAAAAGCAAACTTCTGGCTTTCCTTTTGCAAATCGGTGTTCCTTTGCCGCCTTCGCCGTCATCGTCGTTGTCATCTTCGTTGTTGTCGTCACCGTCCATTGCAGCAAATTGCAAGAGACGCAACGAATTCGGCTGGATTTGAATTTTGATGGAAACCGTCAACAAAGCCAAATGCCTGCATTTGAAAGACGAGAACCAACTCAAACGAAACTCTCTTAATACAATCAATCGAAAACCCAAATGGCTATTCTTTGTTTGTTGCCTCACCGATCGCCTCTTCGCTCTCACACACTCACTCAATCTCTACTCCACTTCCTCTTTTGCACTTATTTTCTCTTCCCCTCTGTCGTTCTACTCCCGATCATCACATTTCAGCATTCTTTTCTATTGATGCATTTTAGCCGCTTTGAGTTTGCCTTTGCTTTTGCTATTTCCATGTTAATATGAAAACGACTCGAACAAACAGTTCCCAAATTATCGTATAATCATAACATGGAAATATTTTTGCATATTTCATTTTGCTCAATCGTTCTTCCTTTCAACTTTTTGAAACCATGTCGCCCGCCATAGGAAGAGAAAGAGAGAAAGTGGCCATAGAGGCAAGCAGCAGAAGCAGCAGCTACAAAAACACCAACAACAACAAAAATTGTATATCCAGTGAACATAGTCATATCCTTTGATGCTTTGTTTGCCAAGGAGTGAGTAATTCGACGATTGCTTTACAAAGGAATTATTCACGAACGACCAAGAAATCCGAATGGAGAGAAAAGGAGCGCATGAAAGCTTTTATGACACACGAAGAACGACTGACTGACTGACTTAGTGCAAAAAAATGCGGCTCCTTGTGGGGCTTCTCTCTCTTTTTCTACCTTTCGATTGCGATCCGTAGTTCACCGGTTTGCTAACTTGTCTATATCATGGCATTCACCTGTTCAATCTCATACCTTCGATTGTGCTCGTAAATTTCAAGATCCATTCGGAAAGTGAGAGAGAGAGAAAGAGGGAGAGAGAGAGAGGGATTGTGTGAAGGAGATGGATACATAGGTCTGAACTCTATGAAATCACAAACAGAATTTTCATTTCATGTTGAATTGCCGGTGGAATGACAAATGTCCACACTGACCTATTTCGACCTTTAAAATGGCATTTATGGGCATACTGTGAAATGTGACCAATCGCCAACAATCAAGCCTTATTCACAGATTTACGCAAAGACAGACAGCTTTAACGAAGGGGTTGTAAATATCTGAAAGAGCGATAGAGAGAGAGAGAGAGAGAGAGAGAGAGAGAGAGAGAGAGAAAGAGCGGACGAGAAAAAAATAACGAATCAACAATGTCAACAGAGAACATTTAAAATATTCGATTACATCAATTTCTAATTAAAATTGTCTTTAGCTGTTTCGAAATGAATGGACGTTAATGAAATTAAGATTTAATCGGATTTCGGTGTATGTCTGTGTGTTGCAAAACGTTTCCACAAAACATGCATAAATATGCAATTTGCACATTTACAGTTTCATTCGTCGTTCGTTTGTCGGTTTTCATTTTGTGCACGCCAAGCACGGAGGATTTAATCGAAAGATTTAATCCATCCGTGTGATTGTGGTTGATTTCAACTATTTTCAAGTGTGAACAAATTGAAAAATCGATACAGTAAGCGGAGTTACACTTATTATTCATTACGATATATCACTTTCATTCGCTCTCGGTATCTTGCTAACGCTGAACGTACATTCGCTTATTCGGTTGCTCGCGCACGAGAGAGATTCCGACAGAGAATGAACTGAAATGGGTGGAATGTGTGTAGTCTATACGTATCGAGAAATATACACAGGTAATGCAATACCTTTTACTCAGTGAAAATTGTGCTCTCGTAGTTGGCATTTAAGCAGGAGCGCGAGCTCTCGCTCTCGAATTGCCTCTAAATGTGCCAATACATTTTTAATTTTAAGCACTTTCACTCCATTGTCACCTCGTAAGTGAGAGAGAAAGAGCGAAAATTACAACGAACGAAACGTACATCGAAGCACGTAATAAACGAACAATTTCGAGAAAAAAAAACTTTCCCGAACGAAATAAGTGTTTGAAATGGTACCCAATTTTAGTTTAAACGAAATGCGAATTCCAATTAGTGGTATCGTTATGGTGCAAAGCGATCTTCGAAGGAGTATCGTCCACTTGAGAGTTTATTTGCCAAGGGAAGATCGTGATTTCATTGTGATCCTCGGAAATCTGTTTTGTTCAGATCTTTTGTCGTTTTTGTTGGTGATTTTTTTAATTTTTTTTTTTTATTTTAATCGTTTTTAACCCAATTCTTTCTCATCTATTCTTCTATTTCATTTTACAAATTGTTCCATTTTTCGCAAAATTTTCACCCGAAATTTTCAGGGCAAATAAATTTGGTTCCGATTTTTCGAAAGTCTCTTAGCTTTAAGTTGAATCAAATTGAAAGTAAAACAAAAAGCCCAATCGACGGAAGTGAAAAAGTTTGTTTTAGCAAAGTAAACAAACAAACAAACAAATCTCATGTTTTGTTTATTTGCTGTGTAACTAACCGTTAAAAATTCGTTTAATAAACACTCACCTTTATTGATGAGCGAAATACAAATAGCCAAAAGGAAAGTTATAGTCATCCTTCCGCGTTCACCGTGCTGCTTCGCCATGGTCAAAAAAGAAGAGAAAGTCTCCGTTTCTCGCAATCTCGTACTCTTTGTCGTTTTTTTCGTGTCAACACGAACTGCAGCAGTCAAAAAGTTCTCGTAAGTTTCTGCTATTGATTTGTTTTTCTCTTTTTTTTTCCTCGAATTTTTCAATCAGAAGTGTCCAACGTTTCTGGTCTTTTTTTTTCTCCGTAAATTTAAATTATGAATTAAAAAATTTCCGTTTGTATCACTTGTGTTTATTATTGAAACTTCGTTTATCTTAATTTCAGTTTGTTCCGTAGTCTCTCTATCTCTCTCGACGAATGTGCGAAATGCCAACAGAAATCCGGGGCGGTTTTTCAGTTTGAATTTTCGTGGAAAATTTATTTGTTTTTAAGTATTCAATTAAGTATGCAAAAGTTCTGTATTTTCCGGCCAATATTCATTTGATCGTGAGCGTTAGCGAGAGAGAGTGTGGGCCATGTACTGTTAATGAATTTCAACTATATAAATTGTTTGTATGTTTTTTTTTTTGTCGGATTGCATATTAAATAAGAACTGGGTAATGTATAAATTTTTGTTGTTTTCGTCTCTCGCATGCGAATCGCTCTTCCTCTTCCTTTTTTCTTCTTCTCCGTAAGGTATTATGAATGGCACAAAACAATAAATAATGCAATCTCGTTCGTATAATTTTTTTGTCCGTATGTTCGTTTCGTCCGCGAATTATGTGCTGCAATGAACTGTTTTTTTTCTATTATTATTATTATGATTATTATTCGTGTTGTTGTATTGTGTACGCCATTAAAACTGTCTTTAAATCATTGTTCTTTATCCGTGGTTATTTGTTTTACAGCACACCGAAAGGAATGGCGAAAAAAAAACTGGGAAACTTTTGGCAGTCGACAAGATGGAATATGGGCAAACAAACAAGTAAGCAAACGAACGAACGAACGAGCGAGCAAACTAGCAGCGTAACAAGGAGTGTTGAAGTTATGTTGCGCTCGGCAATCGCGTGGCAGTGATCACTTGAACGTTTTGCAGAAAACTGAACAACTCAAGTCAAATAGAAAATTTTCGGTTGGTAAAATCGTAAAGTTTCCGCGAGTATCGACTCACTCACTCTTTCTCTCACTCTCTGGTTTGCCTCGTCGTAGCACACAATGTTGGAATGGAGAGTTTTCGGCAAAACTTAAACACTTAATTTGCAGCTGTTTGTTGTTCTTTTAACGCACTAATTGTATGAACTTTTCGAATATTGCTTGTAATGATCGTTGTCATGAACGCGGCGCGCGCGAGAGAGACTGTTGTGCGAACAAAAACCGACGAAAATAAAACGAACAAAAACTCACTGACTGACTGAAGAAAAAGTGCTGTTTTTATCGATGTGTATAAGATATATCTATATCGTTATGTGTCTTGAATTCTTAGCAGAAATGGAGGGAAGAAAAAAAAAACAATACGACAATCGTTCTATTTGTTTCACTTAGCAAATTTTCACCGGATTGATTGTTCAAATATTAACTTTCAGCAGGAATCTCATACTTGTTGTGTGTTCGCAGATAAATGAATCCAATAAATGAAAACGGAAAACAAAAAGGAAATTAACAGACTCAAATCGACATCGTCCAAAATGAGTCAACTGATCGTTGATGACTATTTTTTTTTTTGCTTTCGTCGCTTTATCTCGACACGTTTGTTATTGTCTTTAATGTTTGTTTGTTGCCAAAGAATATGAAGACGAGGCGAGAAAAATAAAACTCAACCAAACGAAACGAAACAATTTAATTGAAAAAATACACTCAATAAAATGTATTTATCAGTGTTGTGTCTATACCGCTTTAATGTTGCTCTCTTTTTTTCGTATTCTTTTTTTTCTCTTTCAATCAATTCCGTTCAAACGGTCAGAATAAAACACGTTGCTGTTTTTCCGTATATATCTATCGCCGCTCACTGAATTTCAAAAACGAAGAGAAACACTCAATAGCAGGAGAGTATTGCCTTGTGATGTTTATTTACATCGTTCATTTCATTGACTGAATTGTAAACACCATTGATACAGCTATTGTACCCCCGAATGTTTCAGTCACACTCAGCTTGTGTGTGCCGTGCTGTGCTATATGGAATTGGATTGGCACATGTATGATGATAGCGCGCACTCCGGCTCATGCTGCAGCTGTGTGTTCGCAATGTGATTTGTGGATGGATTCAAGCTGGAAATATACGAAGCGACATAGAAACCGAACATACCGTGTTCGCCAGTGCATACACTATGGGCCACAGCAATACTGTATGACACGCAAAGACCTTAACTTACGCTACACACAGCGTTACGTCGCAACGCATCACCATAGTCGCTTATATCAGTCGTCAAAAACACCGAACCTTCGGCTTCGTACAATATGCACACTAAATGTCGAGACCAACGACGACAACAAACGACGGCGACAACGGTGAAAATGACTGAAAGAGGATAGATCACATCGGTCGGTGTGTATTTCGATAGCGCATTTTGACTTGACGAATGTGAGACGAAGAGTGTTGGAGTGGAAGCAACCGTGCCACCGATAGAATGCATTCGATGGAAAACAGCGAGATGTTACGTTCGTTAGTTCATTTGATGTTTTGCTTGTTTGTTTATTTCTTGTTTGCTTGCTTATTTGTTTGTTCTTTCGGTTCGTTGCTGCTGCTGCTTGCTGTTGCTGTTGCTTGGTGTTGTGTGTTTGTCGTGTGCTCCATGCAAAATATTGAGCCAACTTTGGAGCTTGAGTAAAGATGTAATGTTAACATAGGCTTATGCAATGCCACTGTGCGAATATGTCAACTGTGCGTATTGTTACGACCATAACGGTACTTATCGTTTCATTCTTCGTGCTCATTTTTTTTTCTCCGCTTTCTCTCTCATTTTTTCTGTGTAGTTTGTAACGGTGAGACGATGAGCCATCGAGCGCGAACGATGAAATGAAAAACATGCACATACGATCTAAGCGAAACGAAGCAAAAGGAGCAGGCAAGCACACACAATGTGTGTTTATGTCAAAGGAATGTCGATTCAACATCAAACACATTAGATCGAGCCTCCTGTCCTGTCTGTTCTTCGCTTCTTTATCAGACAAACACACACACACACAACATCACCACTCGAATCAACCGCTCTTTCTCCACACTGTGTGTGTGTGTGTGTATGTGTCGTCTCTGAATGAACACAGCGAATAAACGTGGATTGGAACATGGTGCAAACACAATATGCGTGCAATATTTTATTGAAACGTTAAACATACCACCGCATATTCAATAATAAGTGTATGGCCCGTTGTAAAGTTGAATGTAAAACACACGCAGCAACATTTATTCGGCCTGTCCGCTTCTCTTCATAGCTTTCTGTCCCGCTTCTTTTTTTCTTCTTCCCTGTTTCATCGAAATGCCATAGGAATAAGGGCGAACGATGATTCATCCGAGGTAATAACTTCATTTCACCTTGATATTTTTATTCGTTACGCTATTTTACCATTTTTTTCCGATCCACTCGCTCGGCGAATCGATTCAATTCGTTTCGGTGTGGTTTGGTTTTGGCTTTCATTCTGTTCTTGCATTCGGAGCCCGATTGAAAAACAAAAAATATTATTGATATATTGATAAAGTTCGTGCATCATAAAAATAACGAATGAAATACAGAGAACATTTGATTCGATTACGCACGTAGAAGAGTGGTTGATCGTCGAATGGAATCGAATGAAGCCGAATACGAAGATGAAAATTACGTCTGCAAGAAGAGAAATTCTGAAGACAAAGGCAAGACGATGCTAAATTTGAAGACAGAATTTTCTGCTCACGAGCGCACTCACTCGCTCGCTCAGTTTGGAAGAGAGAGAAAAAAAATTGCGGTTACGCGGAAACGTGCAATTCAAATAAACAAATTTCCATAAAAAAAAATCTTTTTCTATCTCTTTCGTTTCTCCATTTCCTCCGAATCTTCCAGCACACGAGCAAGCCAAATACAAAGGAGATGAACATGGAATATTATATGATCATGAATGCAAAATGGAATTAAGGAAATGCCAAACGCCATTTAAAATCCATATATAGAGACAACGAATGAGTACGAGTTTATATATGGACGGGACAAAATGAAAAACGATGCAAGCGGCGCGAGTAAAGCGGCAAGGAGGAACAAACAAAAAATGACAGAAATGAACGAAAGAGAAAAAATGTGGTTTGCAGAAAAAAATGGGAGTTTTCATTTCATTAATTTTCGTTTAATGACTTTTCCACAATTTTATGTGATGTCACTTTAATTTCAATTTAATTTCGTGTCACTCGTCAATGCTGCCTGTCGCGCGCGCATCGCACATTCATTCAGTTGCCATCGATGGCGACGACGACGGCAACGACGACGGTGACATCGCCGACGAATACGACGCTTCAGTAGCACTTGAATCGCCACCCATTCATTTATAATCGAATGGCAATTTTCATGGGCCATTCGGTTGGCTGGACTATTGCTGCTACACGGCTGCCACTGATAGCGGTTTGCACTTGAAGCTCAAATTAACATCGGCCAACCGAATGGATACGAAGAACGGCATGGTACAGCAACGCATTCATTTCACAAAATGCTTTACTGTCTCTATTTTGTACGCATTTTGCGTGCCTTTTAACACCTTGTTTCGGTTATCTACAATCGTCCTTTTTCTAATATTAATTCAATACCTGTAATCCGTGACGGGGTGAATGACGGGAAAAAAAAACAATCCGAAGTAACCAAACCAGCCAGTCGGCCAGCGCGCAAATAAAAACTAGAGCGAAAGCCGTTCAGCGGCAAAAACCGACATGGATAAAAAAAAACACACACACTCAACGACCGAAAAACTGAATGTGATGAAATATGTACATAAATTATGCGATACACAGATCCTTGGAGAGAACTCGCACATTGTCTGTCTCTTTTGTTGACGGTCTATCCTACGCTGAACGCGTTTTTGTTGAGACACAGCGCCAAATATAAAACAAATAGAATCGAAAAACTACACCACATTGGCTTAAGCTATGAGCTGGCTGTGTGTGTGTGTGTGTAACAAGGAAAGCGAACGAGTGCCACTCCCGGTGCCCAATGATTAGACGATGGCAATCGGTTTGAGTTGCACCGCAGGAGATGCTTCCAAAACACACATACATTTTGCCACTCATATTGGCCCGAAAATGCCAAGCGAGAATGAATGAGCCAATGTCCATTATATTTTACTACCATTGCCGTTAACAATTGGCCTTAACACTAACCGAAAACGACCGATGTGTGTGCCTCTTGCATTGCCGATGATTTTTCTCGGTATGTTTTGCGTGTAGGTTACCTTTGAAATTCGTAATTTTTATGGTGGATCGAAATGATTTATTTACTATTTCCGAGTTGAATGCAATGAATTGGTCGTCGGTAGTGATGGTTGGTGGCGGCGGCGGTAGTTGGACACCGGTGCCACAACCAAAAATAGAAGAAAAAATGGAACCAGAGAGCAAGAGAGCGAGAGAGAGTCAGATCGTTGAAACTATGAAATTCATTCCGATTGACTTCCGACCATGCCTGATTCTCGTGCAATCGCTCTCGTTTTCTCTCTGGTTTTGTTGACGTCAATTTTTTTTCCATTCGTTTGTTTGTGCGTTTTTTACGTGAGAGAGGGTGGATTTAACGCATGGCACACCGCTGTGTCTATTTTGGATAAAACATAATAATTAAAGGTAATAAAAACTGAAAGTAAAACGTCCAACATGAAATAAAAGGCAAGAGGCAGAAAAATATCGACAACAGAATACATTGTTTGCACGTGTTAAAAATTATGACGAGAGAGAAAATGATATGGCATCGTCATCGGGTGCATGGTTTTGCTGGCATACACGAAAGAAAAAAAAACGAGGGATTCCAAGTATAGCCGCAGTGTGTTAAAAGTTTCAAATCAATTTTAATATACACAACAAACACGTCTCTTTCGCATCACAAAAGGGGGAATTCAAATCATTTTTTGTGTTTTATTTTTTGTTATTGAAAGAAAGAAAGAAATTTTTATGAAATAAAAATCGCGCCACACAATCACGAAATTGTTTCATTTTTTCTCATTAGTATATTTGATGGCTGAAGGTATTATCGCCATGGATCGAAAGGAAGCCAGAAAAAAGTGTGACGTGAATGGGATTTTATAATAATATTACATTTTGAGGAGAAAAAAAATAGGAGAGTGAATGGGAAAAGGAGAGAGGGAGAAAGTTTATGGTTTGCCGTCGGCGTTGCATGCATTCATCCGGCGCGCTCGTTTAGAGCTTAATGGATTGAACAGTTGTTCTTATAATTGAATGAACGACACGATATAATTTCAAAGAATTTCAAATATGTGGATAGTGGCAAAGTGTCCATTTAAATTAAAATATGTGATTATGGATGCGAATATGTATGTCCCCTCTGTTTCCTCGTTTATTTTCAATCTCTCGCTCTCCTTTACTCCCGTTCCCTCTTTGCATTCGTTACAATCATCAGTTATGCATTATAATACCACTCATTAAATGGCAGTTTACAGTCTGTAAGATTCAATTTAGCCGGCTAGAGGATGAGAATGAGAGAGAGAGAGAGAGATGCCTTCGTCAAATTGTATTTACTTCTCTGGTTAACTCGTCGACTTGGTGGCCGTAAAATGATAATGGTTTGAACATGGTTTGGGCGGATTCCGTTTTGGCAATCACATGCAATTGACTCAACTTGGTTTTAGCTTGTGTTTTTTTTTCTCTCTTTCCTTCTTCACTGAACGAAGCGATACTTTTTTTTTCTTGCTCTTTCTCTCTCGGTCCTCGTTTTTCTTTAAACCAATATATACTGCACCACAAAAATAAACTTATGACTAGAAGAGGAATCGTTGTGTGTCATGAGTAAGCTCGCTCACGCAATGCTAAGATGTCTCTTTTTCACGTTTCTCCTTTGCATTTTTTTTTATCTATTCCGTGCTATTTTGGTTTGCTCTCGTACGAAAATATTCGTGCTCGTTTAACTTGGTCTCTCATAAATTTATAAAAAGCAAACCGAAAAGGATTCCTTAACATTGATCATTTCTTTTTC